TGGGCAAGGCAGGGATTGGGGGGCTGGGGGAGTAGGTGGGGCCTTCAGCATCAGGGTGAGGGCTAACCATAGAGACACTCTGGCAGGCAGAGCATCTCTATGGAGGACCCAGCCGTCCCATGATCTGGGACTGTGCCCTGCCCTGCTTTTTTCTGTGTGGGTTTTTTTGACCTCTGGATATCCAGGCATCTAATTTTTCCCCCGTGCTGCAAATTTGCAGTGCAGGAAACATTTTCTCATTCCTGCATGTGCCTCTTGCAGTGTCTCATAGGGGTTTGAGATGCTACAAGAAGCACATGTTGGCTTGTCTGGATGTGCCCAATGAAATGTCAGTAGCCTAAAACCAGAATATGGGTTCATTTAGGCTTGTTGGCCTCAATCTTTAATCATTCTGGTGAACTGAAGGATCTGCAAATCTATTACACCAGTGTGACTGAGCTTAGAAGTCCCAATGGGCAAATGCTTCTTTTACTTTACAGCCACACAAGGCAAATAGAAGAGCAGAGGGAGCTGTCTCTGTCTTGTGCAGCAGCAGAACAGGATCTAGGGTAATGTTCCAAAAGTGCCTAATGAATTACTTAGATGCCTAAGTCCCATAGATTTGGTCATGAAATGTAGGTAGTTAAGTTACAGGGTGACTTCTGAAAAACCTTATCCTAAATTAGCAAACAAGTGAACCCTAGAGAAGGGATCAGTTAGTGCATTCCAGACTGAGAACTCATTCTTTCAGCTAGGGTAGGGATAGTAATTACATATAAACCAATATAAGTGATCAGAAACCAATTCAGATCTTTAACACAACAGAAGTTCAGTGCACATAAGCAGCTTTCAAAGTGGCTGAAAACAGTTTAAGATAAACCTGGATGGATGTAGTATCATACTTAAATCAGTCTATTGAATTTCTGTCCCAGATTCCCTCCAGATTCAAGTTAACTCACATCCTCCGGGGTGCTTTGCACTTGCCCTGCAAACCCCCACTCACCAGGTGCATGGGCTAGCCTTGGCCCAAGCTGTGTGGCCCAGCTGAGCAGGGAAGCATGCTCTAGTGTCCCCTGGCTTCTATCTTGGGCCACTGCAGGCATATGGCTGCATTTCCAGAATCAAAAGTGAATGTTTGATCACTTGCATATTGGTTCAATTTACTCAGGTTAGACTAATCTGCGAAGATTGAATTGATTCACCCTCAGGCTTTTTGGGTGTCCATACTTAGCACTACTGACCGAGAATAGTCAGCCACCTGAATCATGTGCTCCCTGAACCCACATTTAATGCAGCTCATTTCTAACACAGCACTACAATATAACTCACTTTCTATCACTGAACAAACCTGTGCTACCTCATACTCTTAAGATTACCCTAATATTAGTTATAAAAGTAGCTCTTTTTGTTCCTTCATATTCTTTACAGATGCCGCCTCTTACTTCAGATTAATCTTGTGGAGAAAGTTTTTAAAAGGCACAGGGTTGCACTTAGACATTGAACAATCATGAGCTTTCAAAGGTAGTTGGGTGCACAGATGCCACTTGTGCCTTTTTTGAGTTTCCACTTCTCCATCCATAAAGCTTGTAGCTTACGTGTTCTTTACATTAAAGTCATTGCAGTTTCTCACCATGAATGAAAATTATCCCAACAGCATTTTTATAACATTCTTGTGTGAAATGATAGAAAGTAAGTTTGCTCCAGAATAAGCATGAAGCATATGAACACTACATCAGAGCGCTCCAGGCCCCAGGATTTTATTTCTAATATTTAAAATGAACTGCCTTGTCTTCCAGGATGTTCAGTACACAGATATTGACTATATGGAAGAGAAGAAAGACTTTACTTACCATAAAGTGAAATTTAAAGATCTCCCCAACTTTGCTATTGATCTACATAACCATGGACAAAAATACATCATCATACTGGTAATGCTGTAAACATTTCTTTTTCCCTCTGAAATGACTGTATTATCATCATGTAATAATTGTTTGTGTATTTCATAAAAACATTTGTATGTACTCGATAAGCCTTTGCCTTACCTCTACAATGCTTCAGAAAATGGAAGATCTTGACATGTTTTCTGTTGAGCTTATTTTCTCTGGACCCTGCCATTATCATAAACCCACTCATTAATGATAGCTATGATGCCTATCAAAGAGGGCATAGAAAGAAAGTCTGGGTAAATGAATCAGATGGAGTAACAGAACTCATTGGAGAGGTAATCAGCTATTTACAAAGTTAAAACTCCTCATGTTGTCACTAATTGTTGCCTCAGCAGTTAAGGTTGGGTTAATACCTTTGTTTAAAAGCTCTGTTTTCCAGGTTTTTTCTTGTGTCAGAATTAGCTATTTGTGACGACTTTAATTTACAAAGCCTTAATCATCAGTATTTGAGAGATCTTTGTTTCAACTGATTTATCTTTTTAATTATTTTTTTCTTAAACTGTTAAATATTAAGGAAGGGGAATTAGGAGAAAACTACAGGATTTAAATGACATTTTGGCAGCCAGCTCTTATTGATTTTTCAATGGCAAGTGGCCACCTAATTCCCATTTTAGGTCTTTGAAGTCAGTCCCTAATGTTCACAAATTAAGTTGCTTATTTGTATAATTAAAAATGAACTAAAATCAAAGCTAGGAAATAATTACCAAAGTCACATTCCTTCTGACTATAAACTGTTCTTAAAATGCAATCTATACATGTATTTGTATATAATCCCACCTAGAAGCCCTATCCATTCCAGCATGCTTGGTGGTCCATAAATACTGGTAAGACACAGTTCCTTGTCCAGAAAACAAAACTAATTATCAAGGACCCAGTCTTTCAAATGCTTATTCCTGGGTGTAATTCAAAACCTGTTGAAGTAAATGTTGTTTCCATTAACTTCAAAGGATTTATATAA